GGGGGGGGGGGGTTCAGCGTGAGGGTTCAGCATGAGGGAAGCGGCTGCCTTTAGCTTTTTAGCTAGCACACCTGCATTTCTAGCCACTAGTTTAGCGTTACATCAGTGCTGACGGGGTTAAGGTGGGGGGTTCAGTAGACGGGGCGCTCGGTTCTGTTGACGGGGCGGGGCGCCCTGCTTGTATAATGTAGGGGAAACACTGGTGCAACGTTAGCTTTTTTAAATATTTTGCTTTTTCTGCCTCTTTTTTTATGCTAATTTTAGCTTGTTCAGCTAATTCCACATTTTTTATGCCAATTTCAACTTTTTTCAGCCTACTTCAGCAAAAAAAGTGCTCTCTCCACACTGCTGTTTTAAGCTTCTTCCTACTTAGCTACTTTTCAGCAGTTTTTTTTTTTTTTTTTTTTTCCTAATTTCAGGGTTTTTAAGATGTATTCTACTTTTTGTGGTAATTTCTGCCTCTTTCATCCTAATTAACTTATTTCTGCTAATTTCTTCTTATGCTCCTTTCATCTTTTTTCTGCTGGTTTCAGCTTTTTCTGTTTCAGCTACTATTTAGCTACATTTATGCTAATTTTATCCTTTTCTGCTAATTCCACATTTTTTTAGCTCATTTCAGCTCTTCACTTCCTTCTGATAGTTTAAGCTTATTTCTACTTTTTCAGCTACTTTTCATGTATTTTTTGCTAGTTTCACTTTTTTTTAGCTAATTTCCTCATTTCTGTGCTTATGTCTCATTATTTACATCTAATTCAGCAACTTTTGCTAATTTAGGCTTGTTCTTCCATGTTGGCTACATTTCAGCATGTTTTTTGTGCTAATTTCAGCTGTTTTTCAGCAAGTTCTTCTGTAATAAGCATTCACACTGCATTTTCACAGGAAATGCAATTTGTCTAGTTTTTGTCTTGTACGGATGGATACTCTTGCTTTTTTTAAATTATTTTATATATAACAAAAACATTTTAAGACTGTGTAAGGGTGTTGTGGATGTTCCAATAGTTAATGCCAAATCATGCACTGATTGTTGTTTTACAATATTTTTGTGCCATAGATCGAAGATCTTTCCCAGCAAGCTCAGTTGGCTGCTGCAGAAAAGTTCAAGGTACCAGGAGAAAACGTATCAAACATCCAGGAAAACACACAGACGCCCACAGTCCAGGAGGAGAGCGAAGAAGAGGAGGTAATAAAGGATTTAACTCAAGTGAAACAACTTTAGTTGTAAAATGTTAATCTCAACCTTTATTAAATTTATAGGTTGATGAGACCGGAGTTGAGGTCAAGGACATTGAACTCGTCATGTCACAAGCCAACGTGTCGCGGGCAAAGGCTGTACGCGCCCTGAAAAACAACAACAACGACATTGTCAATGCTATTATGGTGAGATTTTGTAGCTTTTTTAAATGTGATTATAAGATTATTTATATTCAGCCAGAGATTATGTGATTTATCAGAGATCAATCCTAACTCTTCTGTGATGATGAAATACAGTGACTTTCGTTCTTCTGAGTTTACTGAAGTCAACATTTCTGTCCTGAGAAGAAAAACCTTTAACAGCTGTATCAAAATAAGTTTTTGAACCTGTGCTGATCTGTACTTTCTGTTGTGTTGCAGGAGTTGACGATGTAAGGGGACCCAGTCGAAGAGTTAAAGAAAGGTTGCTGATTTAAGCTCGTTTATACAATTTATACCCAAGACGGAAATAAATTTGTGTGTTGATGAAATTACATGTTGTCTTTTGGCAGTTCTTATTGGAAACAGGAGTCATTTTTGCTTATTGGTATCATTAATCCCTGTTAAGTGTTAAACCTGCAACAACTTGTTTCAGAAACAGCTGAGTTTTCCAAACATGACCCTGTATTTTGTCCAAACATCTCGTCTGTTAACATACAATGTTCTTAACGGATGAGATGTTTGGACAAAATCCAGTAACTTTTCAAACTGTTGTACTGTTGTTTTTATAATGTATAAGGACAACCAATGGGTTTATTTCTTTAGTATTAACAAAATTTATTTACTTATGTTTTCAGTCAGTTGCAACCTGCAATTTTTATTCACGCATGTACAGTGAAGAAAATAAGTATTTGAACACACTGCCACTTTGCAAGTTCTCCCACTTGGAAATCATGGAGGGGTCTGACATTTTGATCTTGGGTGCATGTCCACTGTGAGACATAATCTAAAAAAATAATCTGGAAATCGCAATGTATGATTTTTTTAAATAATTTATTTGTGTGTTACTGCTGCAAATAAGTATTTGAACACGTGTGAAAATCAAAGTTAATATTTGTACAGTAGTCTTTGTTTGCAGTAACAGGTCAAATGTTTCCTGTAGTGTTTCACCAGGTTCACTGCAGCAGAGATTTTGACCCATTCCTCCACAGATCTTCTCTAGATCAGCCAGGTTTCTGGGCTGTCACTGAGAAACACGGAGTTTGAGCTCCCTCCAAAGATTTTCTATAGGGTTTAGGTCTGGAGACTGGCTAGGCCACTCCAGAACCTTGATCTGCTTCTTACGGAGCCACTCCTTGGTTCTCCTGGCTGTGTGCTTCGGGTCATGGTCATGTTGGAAGACCCAGCCACGACCCATCTTCAATGTTCTGAGGGAAGGAGGTTGTTCCCCAAAATCTCACAATACATGGCCCCGGTAATCCTCTCTTTAATACAATGCAGTCGTCCTGTCCCATGTGCAGAAACACCCCCCCAAAGCATGATGCTTCCACCCCCATGCTTCACAGTAGGGATGGTGTTTTTGAGATGGTACGCGTCATTCTTCGTCCTTCAAACACAGCGAGTGGAATTGAGACCAAAAAGTTCTATGTTGGTCTCATCTGACCACATAACTTTCTCCCATGACTCCTCTGGATCATCCAAATGGTCATGGGCAAAATTAAGACGGGCCTGGACGTGTGCTGATTTAAACTGGGAAACCTTCCGTGCCATGCATGATTTTAAACTATGACGTCTTAGTGTATTACCCACAGTAACCATGGAAACAGTGGTGCCAGCTCTCTTCAGGTCATTGACCAGTTCCTCCCGTGTAGTTCTGGGCTGATTCTTCACCTTTCTTAGGATCATTGATACGCCACGAGGTGAGATCTTGCATGGAGCCCCAGTCCGAGGGAGATTGACAGTCATGTTTAGCTTCTTCCATTTTCTAATAATTGCTCCAACAGTTGATCTTTTTTTCACCATATGTCTCGTAGCTCTTTCCAGCCGTGTGGAGGTCTACAATGTCTCTGGTGTCTTTGGACAGCTCTTTGGTCTTAGCCATGTTAGTAGTTGGAGTCTTACTGATTGTGTGGGGTGGACAGGTGTCTTTATGCAGCTACCGACCTCAAACAGGTGCTTCTAATTTAGAATAATCAGTGGAGTGGAGGTGGACTAACAGGTCTTTGAGGACCAGCATTGTTGCTGATTGGCAGGTGATCAAATACTTATTTGTAGCAGTAACACACAAATAAATTATTTTAAAAAATCATACATTGTGATTTCCAGATTTTTTTTTTTAGATTATGTCTCTCACTGTGGACATGCACCTAAGATGAAAATTTCCGACGCCTCCATGATTTCTAAGTGGGAGAACTTGCAAAGTCGCAGGGTGTTCAAATACTTATTTTCCTCACTGAATAGAGTGTATACAATTTAAGGATAGAATTTGTCAGAAGATTATTTACTTTTCTTTAACCAGGTAAATCTCTTTGAGATCACAGATCTCTTTTTGCAAGAGAAATCTGGTCCTGAAGGCAGCCCAACATGCATGTTTACTGTGGAGGAAACCCACACAAACATGAGAACATGCAAACTCCACACAGAAAGACCCAGGTCCAACCTGGGGACAGAACACACTAAGCTGTCGTGTTGCCAAAAATGTATATGAAGGTAAATTAATCTCAAAAGTAATCACAAGGTGTAAGATCTCCAAGCGTTGCACGTTTTTCAAATGTACGGACAGTTTTTCACATTTACACGTTTTGATCAGCAGAAACAGGAATATTCTGCACATACAATTTGTCAAATACACGTGCACAAATCACCTGTGGATGAGTAGATGTGTTTTGATATAGAGGGTGTGAGGTTATCAGGTCTCTTTAAATGATTCCCTGAGGCTCAGTGGGATTAACCTGTATAAATAAAAGTTGAATGAAAAAATGAGCCATTGTGCAAAGTTAGAAATGTGTCTTCCCTTTCCAATAACTACACCTGGTAAGCCTCAGAGGACAGAGGGTGACTGGAGACCCCTGAAGAGGGAAAAGCTGAAAGAAGAAACGCATTTTAAATAAATATTTTTGTCTTTAATTAGCATTACAAATCGCAAAAATTAACTTCATTGTTGTGGTTAAAAAAAAAAAAAAAAACTTCCAGCAATGTTCAGTCAGTTCCTCTGGACGGTTTCTTTTTTGTTGAAAAGTTTAATCCTTCATCCAAAGGACTTCATCAGTCTGAGGAGCCAGCCACAACAAACTCAGTCCCACAAGCGGCACACTTGCATAGTGGGCCAACCAGTGTGCTGGTGGTAAGATGGTTTCTGGAGTCGACCCCCTCTCTCCCCGTCGACTCCTCTGAGGCAGCCATGGCCAAAGTGTTCAAATAACTCAATAATTCATTCAACCTTTATACAGGTTAATCCCGTTGAGCCTCACGGACTCATTTACAAGAGACCTGAAAAATCCAACAAAGTTAGAACAAGAACGGCAAACTGGTTGGCCCACTATGAGTGTGCTGAGTTGTTGGTCCTCGGACTGATGAAGTCCTTTGGATGAAAGTCGAAACATTTCAACAACAAACGTTCAGGTGACCTGACTGGACTTTGTTGGATTTTTCTTTACCTGGATTATTGAGGGTGAACTTTGATGTTTATTTAAACTCCTCTAACACACTCAGGATGCTTATTTTTTTTATTTTTCTACTTTATATCTAGTTCCACCTGAATTTACTTTCTTATTCGTGACGAACTTTCGTTTAGAAATATAATAGAGAAACGGCTGATTTTATTTTACTGAAATATGAAGGACTTTGATGACTGATGAAGTCCTTTTGGATGAAGGACGAAACGTCTCAACAACCAAAAAGGGAAAAAAAAACCTTCAGATGACCTGACTGAACTTTGTTGAATATATGAGACTTTATTTGTCATCTTAGACTGAATGCCTTTAGTTTTATTTACACGTACTGAGCACTTTGTTTCTTTTAGTGTGCTTTTATAAAAGGTTTTAGTTTAGTTTATCCCCTCACGTTCTCCGTGGAGCAGCAGCTAATCTCGCTCAACTCGAGCAGCTGTGGCTGAAAGCTCTAGAAACGTCTGGGTCCTTCCGCGTGCGTAAACTCCTCCCATTCTCAACCCAGGATACGCTACGCAACCAGATCCGGAGTAGAGCCGTCCAGCTACAGGCGTTTTGAAGTCCAGTGCGCCGAGCGTCTCCCTTTTCACAGGCTCGACCCTTATTATCACAAGAGTGGTTTACCTGCGACAAAGAAGCTCACTTCGCCCGGAGATATGTAAGTCGTAAGCGGAAAACGCGGCGTAAGAAAAGTGCGGCGGTACGGTCCGCTTAGCTAACAGTCCTCACCCGTCCAACACGCTTTCTGTAAAGGCGGGAGAGGCTGGCCTTGCCTCGGTGAACAGAGCCTGAAAATGTTAACTCTCCTACTTAAAGAGCCGGCGAAAACAGGCGCAGCGTAGTGGATATGTTGTGGTTTGTCCGACATTGGCTGAAAAGTTGTCTTGTTTTCGGCGTGTCTCTGAGCCACCGCGTGGTTTGGACCTTGTTAGCCTCGTTAGCTCACCGAGACTCCGGGACCGGGCTATCAGATTAACACCAGAGCGACATTACGAATTAAATAATCTGGGGCTCCTAACGGCTAAAATACGCCCTTTGTACTCTTGTGGGCTTTGGCTCCAGTTCTTTAGGTTGTCGAGTGATTTTCAGTAGTTTTCACTTGTTTTTTATTTTAATGGTTTGTGGGGGGGTCAGCAGAGAAACTACACATTAATGATGCAGATTAATTTATACTGAGAGAACTTCTTCAGACTGAAGTGTTTGGTGTTCAATTTAATAAAAGGAAGTTACATTCATATATAGTTGTCTTCAGCCACATTTATTAAACTGATTTTTAATTCTAACTATTCAGGGTGACTCAAATTAAACGTGGTATATTTGACTTGTCATGCTTGAGTTCACAGATATTTCTCTGGTACGCTCCTGAAAGGGCTGGCTGACATGAAAATACATCAGCAGTAAGGGTTAAATGATGTGGGCTGGGTTGTGATCTGTGTTCTTCTACAGAACTGAAAGAAACAGACTTCAGATCCCAGTAGATTCACTTTTTATGGAGTTGTAGGACAGGACACGCAAAATAATCTGGATATTCTTTGAGCTGATAATTCAGTTTATTTCTAAAGCACCAAGTCACAACACAGAAGTCGTCTCAGGGCACTGAACAGAAACATTCGTATATAAAAATAATAATTTAACATTATTTATCTGAGGAGCAGACTGCTTTGAGTTTAACTCCATCACAGACTCTCATCCTGAGCAAGCATGAAGGCGACAGTGGAAAGGAAAACTCATGAGTAAGAAACCTTTAGCAGAACCAGGCTCAGGACAAGTGGTCATCCGCTTCTACTGGCTGGGTTTGAGAGGAACAGATACACAATGGCAGGTGGAAATAATATCAAATTAAAACTATTCAATTTTAGCATATCTTTAAGGAAATGAGGTAAATTTGTCGTCTAGTAGTGTACGCTTAAGACAATAAGGTTTTTATCATCTCATTAGATGACCTGACTTGGAAAATGAGGGTCCTTTCATTTTGACGAGATGGGACAAAGTTATAATCATTTTGACCAAGACGTAATTGATGTGATCTTGTGAGTTGAGATGGCACTTTTAGAGAACGTGTTGGGATGATTCTCTGCTACTACCACACATTGTATAATATTTGTGAAACTGACCAGAATTAAAGCTCTTTCTGAAAACAACTCTTGCAATCTAACAAGGTTAGGTCAGGTCCTCTGGATGGATTCTTCTTTGTTGAAATGTTTCTTCTTTTATCCAAAAGACTTCTTCAGTCTGAGGAGCTGCAACAAACTCAGTCTCATAAATATTGCCTTCTTCATAGTGGATCCACCAGTTTGCTTCTGACATCCAGAACTAGCGAGTTGCATGTAAAAGGAGGACCATCAGCCTAACAATGGATCGTTAGAGCCCTAACAATTGGCGATGCTTTCCAGTCTCCAAATAAATATTTACATTCGCAAGTGCCCGCGCACATGCGCATTAAGTGGCGGTACAAAACTTAGAGCGCCAGCTAATGTCATGGCATGGCAACTACAGCAGACTGAATTTCTGCGCTTCCATGTAAACAACAAATGCAATCTGTGTAAACGAGTTTTTCGCAAGAGTCAACATCTGAAAAACGCTGTTTCTAGCGGCTGTGTTCGTGTAAACAGGGCCTGTGTTTGTTGTTGTGGTGCCTCAGACTGAAGAAGTCTTTTGGATAAAAGACGAATCTGTCAGAGGACCTGACTTGACCTTGTTAGATTTTTTTACCTGGATTATTGAGCAAGCATCAGAACTCTTGCAACCAGCTTTCGACTTTTAAAATGAATGAGACTGAAGAAATTTGACTGAGGTCAGAAGTTCAAATTGTTTTTTTATTTTTAGAGATGAGGAGAAATAAACATTGATTGATGCAGGTTTAGCGTGGATGAGCTTAAGTTTCTCATCACGTTGTTTCTTCACAGGCATCCAGCAACTGCCAAGTGGTACGACAGGAGGGACTCTGTTTTTATAGAGTTCTGTGTAGCAGACAGCAAAGATGTTGCAGTCAATTTTGATAAAACAAAATGTGGTTTCAGGTAAGCCTTCCGCTTGTTGGGTCCTACGTCATAAACCTGTCAACAGATAAATTCTGAGTACAAATAAAATGCAATTTTTTTTTGTGCCCACAGTTGTGTTGGTGGAACTGACAATGCGAAGCTCAAGAATGAGATAGACCTTTTTGATGCCATCGATGAGAGTGTAAGGACTTCATACTGCCTTGGCTGATGGTACTGCAGGTTTTTACGAGTTCTTAAAGAGGTGATCACGTGTCTTTGTTTTGTCTTCAACTTAATGCAGCAATCCAAACATAAACGCACAGATCGTTCGGTCTTGTGCTATCTACGGAAAGCCCAGCCGGGGAAGCCATGGCCAAGGCTAACGAAAGAGAAGGCTAAGGTCAGGCATGCTCACACTGTTACATTCAAAGGATATTCATCTTCTTTTAAGAGAATGAGGCAACTTACTGATGGAGAATTTTATTGTGATAAAGTAGTTGTTGTTTTTTTTCCTGGAGCTGCTAAATTAACTTTTAATGTCTTAAGAAGTTTCATGAAGGAATAAATACCTGTGGACGCAAGTGGAAAGACGTACAGCCATTATATTCAGTGGAACTTGTAACGTGTCTCACTCATACTTCTCTGTATAAGTGACACTGTTTTTTTTTTTTATATCCACAGCTGAGCTGGCTAAGTGTTGACTTCAACAACTGGAAGGACTGGGAGGATGACTCAGAAGAGGAAATGGGCAACTTCGATCAATTCTCAGATGTAAGTTTGGATTTATTCTAACGGAGGGGAGGGGGTTGTCTTTAACGACACCAACCAAACGCCCAGATACAGGGTGCCCACCTTCTCGGTCAGCCGCCGTATGACTCGGGAAGAAGTGACAGCAAACAGATCAGGAGGAGTTTCTCTCAAGATGGAGTAATGCGTTTGCCGTTGTCACCTTAAACCACGTTTTCCCATTTCTACTTGGAAAATGGACTCTCCCAAGTCAGAGAAATCAACTGGAAGCCCAATTAAAGAAAAAATAAAATGAGTGAAGTGACATGAAGTTGGAAATTCGACTCGGGAAGCTCAACATTCCTGCTCAGCCTCATCCTTTTGAGAAGTTGATGGCTGCAGTAATGAATGGTTGAATGAAAACTTTATCCTTGAGGGGGCAAAGAATCGTAGCAGCAGGCATAAAATGAAGTTCATAACATTGTAACAATACACAATATAAAAATATAACAATCACAAATAAGATTCATCTATTGCATTAAGATGATCTGGTAAATGGTGTGTGTGTGTGTGTGTGTGGGGGGGGGTGTTAAATGATCTGAAGTGTTCTTTATGACAGCAGAGATCAGCGAGTCTGAAAAAGATGTCTGGCATGGAGCAGGTAGGATGAATGGTCATACTGGAGAGCAGACTTTGACTTTTCTGTTATTATCTCAAACAGCATTGGTCAATCTCTACAGTGTTTGTAAATACATTTAGTTGTGCTTGTGGTGGTTCACCTGGTCATTGATAACAACAATGAAGAAATCCTACTGGTTTTCTGTAACTAACACGGTCAAGTCTGGTCGGTCTGACGTTCCCAGATGGAGTTCAGACTTCCAAGATGAACTGAACGCAGCATCAGGGACGACCTGCCAGAGCCATCTCAGTTTATGGTGACATTGATAGTTGACAACATAAAAGTGCAACAGGCATTAAAAAAATCCAGAATTCAGGTTCAGGTTATTAGGGGTGCACCGATTGCAGTTTTCTGGACGATCACCAAAAAGTCTGACCTGCCGATACCGAATTTGTTTTATAAGCGACACAGTCAGGAGTTATAAGGTCACAATGCACCTTCAATGTTCTAGTATTATTTTATTGAAAAGCAGACCCTTAAACAATACAAACTTGTTTTAATGAGGTAGTGCCCTGAAATATAAATGAAGTTTAGACAATTGTTGTTAAAACTAATAAAATCTGTAAAATCGGTTTCTCGTGCAAGTATCTGCCAATTTCCCCAAATTAAGGAAATCTGGGCCGATAAATCAGCCGGACGATTTATCGGTGCACCCCTACAGGTTATGTTTATTTGTCATATGCAGCTTAACACAAGATCAACAGTACAATGAAATGTTCAGGATGAGAAGAACCAATTCGACTTGCTAAAAAACAAGAAATACTAAAGCAGGCAATATATAAACACAATAATCACACCACTGATGTGAGTATCCACTCTTTAATCGTCAACATTAACATAACAAAGACCCGTCTCCCGCTTTCTCCCCCTCTCAGTAACCCCTGACACATTCGCAGTAGGCTACCGTAATTCTTGGGCTTTAAAGCGCACCTGTCTCTAAGCCGCACTTGTTAAATATAAATCATAATTTTGTACATAAATAAGACGCTCTGGGTTAATTAGTCGCAGGCATCCACCGTTCATGGTCAGAATCTTCCCCCAGTCTGCTCCGGCATAATGTGCAGCTTTCTTGTAGTACAAGAACCAGCCAGCAGGTGGAGTTTCACAGACTAGTTTGTTTTCTGTGCACGCTCGGACTGTAAGAAAGACACGAGTATTCATGAAGCTTCGCAGTCCGACTCATGGTTACAACCATTATACCTTCAAAATGAACACAATAACTATCTGAGCATAATCACTGGACAGAGCAGTGCCAAACGTCTACGTAACTGAAATTGTTTTAAAATGATTTACCGGTAAAACCCAGTCTTATCTAGGTCATGTGACCGTAAGTCGGATAGTACGGTAGAATGTGGTAAATTTTCATTAAATTAGTACCATTAATTTTTATTGGTGAACACTTTTGTTAACTGCTGTTATTAAATGTACTTTCTAAGTAAATTTAACATTTTTTTCTGCTCAGCAGGGCTCTTGAAGAACAGCCCCC